GAGGCCCGAAACCCACCAGCTGAATATCAAGTACTTAAGTCAGTTGGCCACATCTCTAGACTTCTACAATAGTCCATCAAGGTGAAGAGTGGACGATGAATATCTGCGTTCTGCTGGAGGTAGATGAAACTTATAGACACTGTGTATTACTGAACATGCTACAAACTATAATTCACACTGTAAATAGTAATCCAACAATTCATTTATAGGTAATCAGATACAAGCCATTTTCAAAAATAGTACTCTTTGGCAGTATGCTTGGTAGCCTAAGGGAAAGTATGAATAAACAATCAAATAATAAGCCCTTATTCTCTTCATTAATTTACTCATCACGCAAGCAATGCCAGTTGTACGAAGATTCATGTTCAGTGAAATTAGTCATTTAACCGATCTCAATTAGTAAGCATCATTGGGTCAACAAGCCCCTATTGTTGTAATGTTATACTGGGTTTATTTCTTGTACACCATGCTCTGCTTTTCACGTATCTGCCTGGCATTAGTCACGACTTGTTGCTAATAAGTAGTACATGTTTGTGAAGTTCATTGAAAATTTCAGTTAAGGATAATGCAAATGCAAGGATATGCAGAATTTAGAATAATAATCACTGATACCAATGTCGACAGTAATAATAATAACAATATAACATAAACTTAACTATATTCTTAGACTGTTAGAAGCTGATGAGAAGCCTAGGAAATAAATAATCGTACCACTTTATTCTGCACAAATTGTTGTCTTTCATTTGTTCAAAATAATAATGAGTAATGATTTATTACGATTAAGGTATAATGAAGATAATGTATTTAAAGAAAAGGATTGATTATTTCATGAAATATTACAAAAACGTGTAGTGATAAAGTAACTACCTCTTTTAAATATTGAGTTTCTGGATATTTTGTAGATTTCTTGATGAATCCATATTACTGGAACGGCTATTTTATTATCTTTTGGGGCTCTATGCTATCCTGTCAAGAAATGAACTTCGAGACGAGCTAATAACAGTTCAGCCATTGGATTAGAACTCATGAATTCTTACTTCATTGTCCTGTTTATATAGTTACCTTTTATAAGAAATTTCATTTATGTAGTATGATTGCATATTTCAGTATATTCAATGGAGTTATGTCTGACTTTTGAAGATATAACTTAATAGTATACCTGTGAATATTTTCAGTCTTGTTTATTCACCTATTTCTAAGATAACCTTTTTTAATCTTCAATGAATGTTAAACTGTTAAAATTTATGTCATTTCCAAAAATAACTATCCTCTTTTTGGATGTGAAAGAAAGTGTTAAGAAGAAATAAATAAAATAAAGCTGAATGATAGAAGAGATGCTATGTGTACGCATTTATGTATATTCTTCTAACACATAACAAAGTGGAACGATTAGAGAACAAGAGTAGAAATTGAGACATCTGTTCTCTTAAAGTATAATTTGTTTGTTTCCTCTAAAATTCTTATTGATGGATGAATGAGTATAGGATATGTTATTTACATACCGACAGGATAAAAGATCAGTCAAATAAATTATGTATGAATTTTTGAAAAAACAAAAGTAAATTGCATCAAAAATATTTGAAGGTGTGAAATCTAATAGGTGTCTTTATCTTCCAAAAAAATTAACATATGGAAGGAATAAACTTTTCCTGAACAGTGTTAAAAATTGTTTATTTTTCCTCTTCAGTTGTTGTTTACACTTTTCATTGTTGTCAACTTCCCTTTTAGAAGTGAAAGGATAAATCACAGCTTTACACTTTTTCGAATTTCTTTTACGCTCAGAAAGTGACTGACATGGATGATAGCTTAATTCAGATTGATAATAAACGGGTTTTACAAATGTCTAATAATTCAGGCTTTAGGTTTTGTAGGAATTTTGATTAAATTTCAATGTAAGTTTTGTCACCAACCAGCATAATTAAGAGAATATTCGTAAACTAAGAGACACTGGATACCTGTTCCCTCCCGGTTTCGGACTCTTCACAGTGCGCACTAACTATATTGAGTGTGATGCAGATGCTTATCAGTGGCAGCAGTAAATAGTGGTACTGTTTGACAAATTGACAGCAGTTAGAATTCACAGATGACTAGATCGTAACTCAGCGAATGAAAGACCAATGAAATCTCACAGTCTCAAATTCCTGAATTCAATTGATTGTGGGTTCGAAATGTCAGAATACCACAAGGTATGGAGTGGATTCCCTGTGTCACTCACCGACATAATATTACAAGCCAATCGGTTAAACAGATACTTGTTAATTATTTCAGTTTGTTTAGGTTATAAGTAAACTGAAACATCGATTTTCACGACTCATGGTTGCTGAACTGTGGAAACTAGAGTTCAAATCTAGCAATATGTCTTAAGAAATCAACTATTTTTACTTCCTTCCTCACGTTCACTATAGCAGTTGTTTCTATTAGAAGAAATGTTAGAAGCACAATGTACTATTTGTCGCTATTTTAGCACTGTACTGCTTTGCACCCGATATTTACTATAAACAAGGTAAATATTGAATTTCCATTATCACTCTACATCAGTCTTAGTTATTGTCAAAAATATATTTGAATTACTGGTAGCAGTGCAAAAACCACATTTCTCTTTTTACGCACGTAAACAGATAACGCTTTGACGTTTGAAACGATAGGTACCGGATGCGTGTGTCGGTGAAGACACCAACTGATAGGTCGCAAATAAGAAGAATTGCATACCCAATGCTAACCAGTATCAAAACATTACCATGACGTAATACACTTCTTTTTCTTTAACTGGAAATATTAGTAGGTGATGCTTAACAGACAATGGATTACTTAATCCTTATATAGATTATTCGTTGAACATAATTTAATTTGGAAGTGGAGACGGATGCTGATAGACCAAAGTGAATGATAGTCATTTCATAGAGACAAGTGAATCACTAATCGATAATAACTTTGAAAACTGAAAGCTGGAGATACTGACTTCTACACTATCACAGACAAGTCGGTGGCACAGCGGTGGAGTGTTCATCGACCACGCATTTGGTCAGGAGTTCGATCCCCAACTGACTCACTGCTCTACCTCACCTTTTATCTCTTATCGAAAATGATAAGGATTAGAGTATCTGAGGAAATATAAATTCCTTCAAGTTAGCACATATACTGTCTACTTATAAAATGCAAATAAACGTTGAAAAGGGTTTTCTGAAAGATCACATCTCAATATCTAATAATAAATCAATAATAAATCACCTCATCAGTTCATATAATTGCGATCAATTCAATCAGTCATATTGTATCATTTCGATATATTTACAATATCATTACTCAAAAACAAAAAGACTAAAATTTCTTCTATAACAGTAAAATGCTTGATTAATATTATATTTCAAAAGAATGGGCATTGAACAGAAACTATTCTTTTCGATAACTTCATCATCGAATTTTACAGTTATATATACATAATAGTGAATGAATTAGTGTTATTAACAACATTATTGTTGTTTAAGTAACATCAAATCAGTAATATCAATAGATTACAGTTCAATAGTACCAACATAACAATAAACCGAAAGTCAGAAAAATTAGGATAGATAATAATACAAATTCATGAATTTATAGTCTCTACTGAAGACCAGAGCAATAGTAGTGGCTGAACTTGTTTCTTTTGCACACAAAGCACTGGTTGTTTCGCATGAATCGCAATAGCCTCTGCTGTGTGGAGCATGCAGCACCTTGATGTTTTTGACAAATTATATGGTACCCGGTAGATGATAGAGGAGGATTCTTCAGTGCTGGCTTTGTTACCAGTTTGAACCAGGTGGTGTAATATCGAACTGTTGATGGTTAGTATTATATTATATATGCAACATATTGTTTATCCTTTAACAAATACCGCTTCCACATATTTTTCTTCCTCTTCAACAAGACATTGCACTGAATAAAATGTAACTGTCAGACATGATCTTTTTTTTACTTACATAATGTTATGTACAAATGTTATTAAAAATCATCTTACAAAAGAGTCAAGTTTGCAATGAAAACTCTAGTTTCCTGAAATCTATTATTATTAGACAAAAACTCCAGAAAACGAATAAAAAATTTATTGAATTCGTTCGGTGTATCAGTGGTTCAACAATAGAATGCTTGCCTACCATGTATATGGTTCGAGTTTAGGTCCCAACTGACACACTACTAAACTTTGCTTTATCGGTCGACGTGAGGCTAGCGATTTCACCCTGCTAAAGAACACGACCCCATATCAAAATTTAAAAGCTTAAGACTTGAAGCACTTTAGTTTACTCGGAATCTAAAGGAATTGAAGCGAGAGAGGGATCAGTGAAACGATTTAAAATTGAATAAAGACGACGCCTGTTCAGTGAAATTTTGTCTCTCTTCTGAACTGTACACAATCAAACAAAAACAGAGATTTTGAATTCAGTCATTAATGAAATATAAAGCAAGAAAGTTTAATGTTCGTTTGTTATATTCAAAAAAGACAATTATGCTAAAATCGTAATGGTTAAACACTAATGTTGAACACATTTTTAAAAAGAAGTTAGAATACTTGTATGAAATGCTTAAATAAACCAATAAATTTTCCCTACATTAGTAAAATTATGGTGCTTCACATATGCTGTGAATGAAGATAAAATGGCGAATAACTGTTTAATACTTAATTTTTATCAAAGTCTTTATACAGTTTTTTCTGTTTTTGGAGATACAGTCAAGTTATTTGTTGAATCTTCATGTATGACCACGAAGTGGCTTCATCTAGAGGACTATTGGAAACCACTTGGAAGTACTGGTTAGTCGTGTCTTCCTTGTTTGGGACTCTTCATCAGCTCGCATCCATGACTACGCCAGGGATCAAACTAGGACCTTAAGGTTACAAGGCGAGTTCGTAAGCCATTCAGTCACTGGAACGGAATTCAATGGCCTGTCAATCCCAACTTCTGCCGATTCGCGATTGTATTTTAACAAGAAATTGTTGCATATATAAGTATTATGGACATGTGTTTGTATAAAGAAGTATGATGATTAGATAGGTAGTAGCTATTCTTTCAAAACTGTTGTTAATTAATAATAATAATAATAATAACGATTGAGAATATATATATGTACATTTATGGTGAAAATTTATTATAAGGTGAGGGTGATGATAATGGATATTTGTTGATTTTTGAATTAATTTTCTAGTAATTCTTTTAATGCATTGATATAATTAATAGCACCACGTAATATTTCAACTTTAGCTAATCTTCTATCAGGTAATATGGTTAGTGGTAAATGACGTTTTAATAATTCATAACCAGCATTAACACATCGTACGCGTTCACGTTCACGTGCATTTCTTAATCGAATAAAACTACGTGCACATTCAAATGATGTTGACGGTGATGATGTTGATGATTTAGATAATAATGACAAATTAATGGTATTTGATTGGTTTAAACAGTTCTCATGAATTCTTTGGAAATTTTCACTATTTTGAATTCTATCTTCATTAATACTGAAATATTTAGTAGTGTCGTTGTTATTGTAACTATCGTAATTAATTTGTTTATTTGTATATTCATTGGTTTCATTTATCGGATATGGGCATAAACAAGTCCATTGATGTGTTGAATGATTACGACTTTTTCTAGATATTTTCGCTGGTGTTGAAGAACTCATAGTTTCTGTATGACCAAAATCACAGAAATGATTTAAGTATGGTGATGAAAGTTCACTTCTATGCTGTCCATTACTACAATCATTATCACATTTGAAATAATCAGTAGCAGATGATGTATTAGGAGAATATATATACGGTAATATACTGAGTGGATGGTTTAAACAGTGGCGTGATGTAGCTCCACTATTCCTGGAATTATGCAACACGTTTGAGAAATTCCTTGGATATGTCATATTATTTTGCAGTTCTGGTGTTATTGGTATTGAGTATGATGTGTGTGCATCAAGAATCTCTTGGCATAAGAGTACACGATTACTTGATGGTAAATTATATATTCTGTGAATATCTGAGGGAAGAATTTCCGTCACTGGATTTTTTGAAGCAATAAATGGAGTTTTATTACGCGCCATATTTAACGTATGATTGTCCATAACAAACATGAGGAATATTCATATCTATTATATTTAAGTGAACTGATAGTGGGAACATTTGACAAGTAACGGTCTTCATCTTGATTGGTTTAGGCTTTGCGTATTGAATTTTTGATTAGTCAATATTATAGCCAATGAAAACAATTCACTGAAATCATCGAATCAGGATGAAAATAGAAGGGAAACTTTCTCGGTTTTCGTTAACCAATAGGCAAAATTGTACAGGGCCCCTGTTCACTTGGATTTTTAAGTAAACAAATAGGAATTTTAATGGCTCGCTTAACCAATCGCACTTGGTTAACAAGATTTAACTATCCTAATGCAAATAGTCATTAAATTCTTTGATTCAAAGAATGAGTCTAGAAATTGAGATTGTCCGAATCATACCACAATTATACCTCAATTAGTCTCGAAATAAATATGAGCGACGTTGGAGAATAGGGAAATATTAGTTAACAATTATTAATTTTTGTTTCAATATCCAGTATCCAAATTAATTTCCGAAAATTCTATTCGTATTAGTCACCGAGTGGAAATCCCTGCAGTGTGTTATTCAGTTTCCAGCTGAAATGCCTTATTATGTATATTGTACTGTGGAGAAGAAACCGGTTTTGTGAGAAAGACATGTGAACTACAGCAGTATACAACTCCATGCATTTATTCCCCATTGTGAATTTGAATAAAGCAAGAATGATATGTAGTAACATGATGTCTACCTTGTTTTGATAGTCTGTTATATTTTGCTGTGTATATTGATCGATATTCCATTATAACTTACAATATGCTTTGTCTGTCCATTAACTAAATAAACAATGTATGACCTTTTTGTCACGTGACATTACAACCAATCAGAATCCAATCATGGTAAGATGTCTATCTTATTGGTTCATGTATATTAGTCATTTTCCGTATATACTCTTGTGTTGTACACTTTTATCGACACTTGTTTACACGTTTTGCACGCTACGTACCCTTTCACTCACACACTTGTGTGACAGTCAGTTTCCATTGTTGGAAAATATATGTATCATCGTGAACGTGATGGCCTTCTGATTTTTTCCTTTACGCGTCAGGACAATTAACTGCTCGCCGAGTACACAACAGTAAATTGGCAACGGGGAGAACTATGGATTCTTCTAAATTGGAATTACTACTTGAGCAACAAATGAAATTAATGGAAATGCTCATCAACCGACAAACTGGTTCAACTTCACCTTCAAGCACTACGAATCATACCATGTCACCATCTGTCGACGGAATTGTGAATAGTATTACGCAGAGATGTCTGGTAATGGCGATATTATAAGAGTTTCTTCCCTTTTCGGTACATGTTCAGAAAATCGGAGGCGTGCCCTACTTTCTATTCTCCCAATGTAGCTGCTCCCTCAGTTACACGTAAATTTGTATTCACAGTTGGAGTTAACATGAGAAGGGTATCTGTCGACTTTTGACTGCACCGAAGAGCATGTTGTTCAATGGACGGTAAGCAAATTAGCTGCATGATAGGTTCTGGCTGGTGACGTACTCAGTCTTCTGTTAACGATTGTTGCAATGTTTTCACCTTTAAAATCTAATTGAATGCAGACAGGTTTTTTTCAACTGTGACTTGTTTGATATTTGAGCCTTCACATCTTCCATATTTGTCAATGAATCTCTGAGGATAACCGTTGTTTTTTAACACCTTTTCGAGAATCGTAAATTCTTCGTCTAGTTTCTCTGCAGAGCATATTCTCCTCGCTCTACAGTACAAAGTCTTGACTGGTGCTCACTTATAGCTATTTGGACAAAAACTATTAAAATTTAAGTATTGTCTATTCCACGTCAGCTTTCGGTAAAATGATCTCTGGAGACTACCATCTTCTACGTGTTGCATGGCAATGTCAAGGAAATGGAACTTTCCATCATTTTCATATTCCATAGTAAATACAATATTTGTATATGCGTCGTTGAATAATCTGAGTAGGTAGGAAGCATGACTTTCGTTGTTGCACACTACAAATATGTCATCGACATATCAACAATAGGAAGTTGTTTGGTCAATTGCATGCTTCAACTTCGTTTTCTCAAGGTTTGACATGAAGATATCTGCTAAAACAGGGCAAAGTGGACTGCCCATAGCTACACCATCTATTTGTGGGTGAAGAGTGTTGTCAAACTGGAATTGTACACCCATAGTAGTGGGAGAAGATCAGGCTGTTGACAAGTGATCTCAATGGTTTCATTGACTGGGATCATTGTGAATAAGGAGGTTGCATCAAATGACGCCATGAATTTATTTGAAACGTTCATGTGATTCACACTTTCGCTGAAATTAAATGAGTGCACAACCCCATATTCACTTGTATATTGGATGTCTCACAGTGAAACGGGATTGATTACTAGATAACGTTTTGGTCACAATTTACTGTTCATGATTAGCTGATATGATTGTGGTGTTTTTTTCTATTCACTTTTTGTCTTTTCACTTCCATTAGCACAAGGCTGATGATCACCGTAACACATATTCCAGACACTTATCAGGTGAATATTTATAAGTCTCTCCATTGATTCATCTACTTTACTTAGGACTCAACGATGAACTCTTACATTTCTCATTTAGTTGCTCCATCAGATACTAGCAAAACTAAGAAAGCACTATTGGTGAACCACTTGCAACCTATGTATATCTGTTACTATTAATGATCAAGTCTAACAATGATAGCAGGCCTGGCAATTCTACTCCGTATAGTCACTTGAGATTTTGAGGTGAGACGATCACGAAATAGTGATTTAAATTTTGGAGGAGGAACTTCAGCTGTCCTCGAGAAGTGTTGACAAGACTCTAGGTCCAGCCAATATCTTCACTCAGCAGAACTACATCTGAATGCTACAAATTAACAAATGTATCTCCTGTAAGACTGTCAATCACTGTAGAACCAGATACAGAGGAGGAGCCACCCATAGAGCAGAAATGGATATCCTTAATGAATCCCATTTAAAGCAGACATTTCACAAAGAGCCTACCAAAGGTCATAATGTTATATAATGTTTAAGTATACACTCATCAGCATAAAAATTTACTTGAAAAGCATGTTTTCACGAAAGATTCTACTATAAAACCTCTCAGTCGATGGAGTCAGGTATATTTCTCAACTCAAGAAATGTAGCTAGTATCAGATGTTAACATTGGCATCGGTGTTCCACAATTTGAGAGAAGTGAAATATCTGTTCAGTTGACTTGTAATCAGGTTTTAAGTCAGTCCGGTCTTCTCACTTTTGTTGATTTCCATATACCCCTGAATGTCTTAGTGATTAGGGATTAACTCAGTTCCCTAGTTGTTATAGCTAGAAGACTGTAATGTTTTATCATCACTAGTGGTTTTCTGAGAATAACAAACAGTATCTAACTATGCTTTTAGAGAGAAAAGGTATTCACTATTCTTGTGATATCAGTTTAGAAGATATGCTACGCGTAAGATGTCACACTTACACATGAGTGAATTTGAATATGATGACATACTATTGTCATGGAAGCAAACATATATTTTTTTAAGTGATCAAACAGCTATTTATATCTGTACACTTTGTATTATTTAACCAATCACTCAGTATGTGATTTTGGTTTACATTAAACGACATGAAATAGAATGTTCAAATACATATGTTATTATGTTGCTAGTGCAATACTTAACTGTGGGAATAGTATTCATACGTTAACACCAACAAATACAATGATTCTTACTGTGAGAATAGTATTCCGTTGGTACCCATTGTCTGTATCACACCACCACACTCTTATTGCTTTTCGGTAATTGCTCTTGTCAGTGCTAGTGAAATTGAATAGTTTATTTATTCGAACTGGTCTCCATTGGTAAGAGACAAGAAGGCTGTTATTGTTTAATCGTGTACTGGTCGGCAGAAGATTGGAAAAATACGATCAGAAGTATTGTTGTGTATTATATTAACGTTTATTTACAGACTTTGGCACTAATTAACCATCGTAAATCTGTTTCTTTATCGCTTGAAGAATACAGTCGTGTTGTCCAAACGTTTTCTGTTGTTCTGCATAATGTTCTGAGTATTAAGCTCAGTCTTCTGAAATCAGCGATAGGTTGAGGATCTCTGCTGACTGGATATTTGACAGCTCCGATTGGTAGGCTGCAAACAGGTAATCTGTACAATAAAGCCTATGTAATAAGTTACAGTATGTTACGATAACAAATTAATCAGTGAAGTAGAATGACGTGGTAAACTGAGACATTAGTTTAAGTGTCAATGTGATCATCTAAGGGGACATTAATAGGAAATGATGACACCAGAAGAGTGACTACAGTTATTTCCTTAATACCTATTTGAAGTGCCTAAGCCACCAATACAAGTCACCCACGTAGACAGCCTAAGTTGATTGGGTGATGTTTCTTTATTCTACTATAAATACGGTTTCTATGGCTATTTTACTTGCTAACACTAATGAATACTAACACTATACGCAACCGGATTGAATGTAACTGAAACACTTCACGCAAGCCTTGATGATGCATTGAAGAAATTATGATGGTTTAAGACTTTAACAGCATTTCACATAAGTATTACTACGCTGCCTATCATTCTCATTAACTATGCAATATCCTCGAAATGGTAAATGAAAGATATACACGTAGTTGACAGAAATGCACATATTGGCAACGAAACAACAATCAGCTAAGTTAAAAATAATTTAGTATGAAAGAGTACATGTTTACATTAAGAAGGGTTTATAACAGTTCAGTGAAAAATGTCACAGTTGTAGATCGTGTATAGCTGCGTCATAGCCATCATAAAGTCTACTAGTGGTTCTATCCAAAAGGACTAAATCACTTTTCTTCAGTTGGTAGTGATATTGGACCAGTCTTTATAGTTTTTCATCACCACCAGATTGTAGTGCCCCTATTTTAACTCTAACTGTACGCTTATGAAGACAGTTCATATACGGATATTATACATTTACAGTAACTAATTTTAGATGTACTTGTGGAATATTTGTCATTGTATTAGTTAACATAGCTTTTTGTTTGTTAAATACGCACTTCACGTGGTTAGATACTTTTTCGTTCCTTTTGCGCTTTTCGAAATTTGATT